TGATTTTAAAATTTTATGCAAGTCTGGAATGTCGTTTATATCAATGTATATATCTTTTTTGCTAGAAAGATAAACACCTGCAAATAAAATTTCCACAATGTTTTATCTATATCAAGGTTAATAATATCTAGATAATTGTATCTATATCAATTATTTTTTATTTAGATAAATGTGAGAATTAACCAATATCGAATGTGACATTGTGAAATAATTGAAATCGTCGCAATTTTTCGTTTTTTGAAAGTCTTAGTAAATCTTGGTATCATACAGGATTATTATTGTTTTTGAGAATTATTAACAAAATCAACATAGCACATTTAATTATAGAAAGATAACATAAAATATTTAGATTCTTTAAATAAGTGATGATAATATGAAAACTTTAATTTTATCAGGGAGTCCGCCTTTTCATAATATAATATTAATTTTATAATTATTTGTCCGATAAATATGATATATATTCAATATTAATAATGCTCTGTAATGCATGTGTACATATTGATAGTATTACTCAGGTGCTTCAGATTTTGACATGTCTACCCAAGTAACTAAGAAATAATAATTATTGTCTCCCACAACCCCTTCCCCCTCTCCGCCCATCCCCACCACCCCAACAAGCAGAGTAATATAAAAAGGAACGGCCCGGAGGAACAGCAGAACAGCTCAGTATCAGGCTGCCCCTCGCCCTGATGAAGTGGACTGTAAGGTTCACGAAACGTTGGCATCTCGAGAATGGATCTGGACATGGAGGAAACCCGTGAAACGCATAACCTTAATAATTATTGTGTTTACTTGTTTATTTTAAATGATGGCTTTTGTGTTATCATATATCAAAGATAATCAGCGAGCACAAATTTTGCTCCATTGATACATCTCACAAAATCAATAACCATCCATCGTTGAGTCTTGTGTTTATGACATCTTCTGTTCACCATATTATAAACACGTATGAAAATCAACTTATTTTTCCGGGACTCATTTTTTATATAATTAGCGCGAACATAAAGTCCTTTATGAGTGTATGTATTTGTTAGTGGCTATGTCATCTAATACATAAAAATTACCATGTGCAGTATTTCCTCCATTTAATATATAAGTTATGTTTGGATTATTATTATATATCGTAAATAAATCCTTGATCGTGGTAACTTTGTAGAAAAGTGCGTCGTCTAACTTTATGCTCAACTTTTTTTCGTCGGAAGGTTGCTTATCGTAGTAACTATGTACACATGGCATTTTATTTTTCTGGCAAGGTTTGATCTTGTATAACTCCTACGAAACATATTTCATTATATTTACAACCAGATGAAAACAAAATAAAAATGTTATTATAATAACGGATAAATCCTTATTTCTCTGATAACAAATTCAAATTGTACCTGTGAGAATAAAATAAAACGGAAATCCTAATTTCAAAATAAAGATCAATTTTTTGAAATAGAAAAGAAATTTTTAAACCTCAATATCTTGAGTATCCTTCACCGTTGATGGATGTGCGTCGGTGGCAAGTCCTTTGAATGCATCCAAAATTGCACGATATCCAGTGCATCGACAAATGTTGCCACCAAATGAACTTTCGATCTGCTGCATAGACAAACCTTTCCCGAGACTGCAAAATATATACATCAATTTATTAACGCAAAGTTCTTACTTTACAAACGTTCAATTATACTTAATTGTTATTTTTACTTGAACTACATAGCAGTATTGTACGAGTATATTCGTGATTTTAAGTTAGAATTTGTTTGTTTATTATGTTACCATTACAATTATAGAGTTTTTTTTCTGATATAAATATATGTATGTTAATTTTTTAGGGGTATTTTTTTGTATGCTACTTTGTTTCAACGCGCAACATTTCTGAAAGGATTTTATCATAAAGTTAGAAAAGTAATATGCCCGAAATATAATATTTCTTTAATATAAAAATTAATTAGCAATTTTAATAATTCGTACCTGTACATATTCATCACCATGCCAGGAGAGCAATATCCACATTGCGAGCCATTTTTTTTAGCAAGTGTAGCTTGAATTGCATGATAACCGTTTCGCTTGTTACCTAGACCTTCAGTCGTTACAATATTCCAGCTGCATTTTATACGATATATTAGTTAATATTAATATATATTTGACATACTCAAAAATTAAAAAATTGAATATAAAAAATGAAATAGGTATACATGAATATAAAAACAGAGATTTTAATATTTTGTTGAATAATTTCTCTTGTGTGGGACACGAGAGTTTCGTGGATGCTCGTAATGTTACTACATAAATCTTTAACATTTTAATTAAAAATTAAGTTCGAATGTTTAGTTTCTCTTTAATACATATATACATGCGCACATACATACCTGTCACAGGTTAATACCAATACAAGACAGGAATTTACGGCTATCGTTTTGTCCTTGAATGTTACACTTACGACACAAGCACCGCAATCACCTGCATGACACATCGCTTTTGTGCCTCGAAATTTCGCATATTCGCGGATGAAGACAAGGAGGGTCGTATCGGCGGGTATACTATCATCGGATACTGAAAGCGATTTTATAATTTTAAAATCCAGTGATAAAGTTCTAACGTACGTATTATCTTTTATTTCTAAAGCTCTTAATCACAGTTCCATAATCAAGTTTTAGAATTTCTATATAATGCTGTTGATATGATTAATTCTTATATAAACGTGATAGATTAGTTTATATAGTAAATAAATGATATAGTTTCTGATTAGATTTTTTAAATATATTTGGGATTTTTTTATATCATAATTTCTCATTTCAGCAAATATCAAATTATATGTACATGTAATTTCTAATTTCCTACTCAACAATATATCTATAATATAACACACGTGTTATATAATAGTTATATCGTTGTGTGCTAAATTATAAATAATGTGTACGTTACATGTAATTTAGTGATTGCTGGGATG